GGTGTGCGAGCTACTGAAGGACAATGAGGCTGGATGCATCACAAATACATAGTTCTAGTGTTCCGGATCTCATAGTGAGACATTCACCATTCTGCAGTGTGAATCCCGGCCTATGACAGTGCGTCACATATGCAGGTTACCGCAGCCTTCCATGCCTGCCTCCCATAGGGAGTAATGACACTTTGTAGGGATCCAATTCCTGAACAAGCTCCGGGACACCGACGTACAAGTGATAGAACTAAGGGAGAAGTTGCCAAAATGCTGCTGACAAGTAGGGCTGCAACAACTAATCGACATAATCGATGATTGAAAAAGTTGTCAACTTTTTCAATCATCGATTAATCGGCTTCTGGTTAGTCGGCCCTGTTCACGGCTCCACACACGCTGCGTGCCGCACCTCCTCCACGCGCTCGCCGCTGCCAGACCCGCATCTACGCTCCACACGCCGCACCTCCTCCCCGCCTCCCGCTAACCGCCCTCCCACATCCACGATCGGCACAGGGACAAGGGGAGAAATTGTAGTCCTCGATAGCCGGTGCCATTCTGCATTCATTGCTGTATAATTTTACACTTTCCATTTCACTATATTGCACACCACCCCTTTTTTTTTTCTCCTATTTACTTCCACCGCTCCAAGCTTGCTCCAAGCTTGCTCCTGTGATGGACTGCAATCTCAATACAAACTAGTAGTCCCATCACTGGAGCCATTTTTTAAAATGTATTTTATTTTTTATCCGATTAATCGAACTCAATAATCGGCTAACTAATCGATTTTGAAAATAATCGTTACCTGCAGCTCTGCTGAAAGATTACAAAAAGGGGGGAGACAATACTGATATTTTCGATGTTGATTTCCTGCCCCCCCCCTCCCCCCCCTGCTATGTGGTTCCCCTATATCATCACAGGACCAAGTACTGACTTGAACATCGCTGGCTGAAGAGCCTATAAAAAAAATGGGTGTGGGGTACAGCAAACTCTGCACCACGAGTCACATTCTGCATATCAACCCCCAAAATCAAACACAACGATGTAATAACACTCTCAGCAATTTATGATCACAGCCCATTCATAACACTGTGTGCATGTCAATGGGCCCTTATTATAAAAACACACTGGAGCAGACAGAATCTGGACAGAAAACAGCTGTGCATGACACCCAATCAGCTTCTATCTTTCATTTTCAAATCTTAAATGAACAAACTGAACAGAGAAGCTGATTGGTTGCCGTGCACAGCTGTTCCGGATTTTGTCTGCTCCAGTTTTGATAAATTCCCCCCCACTATACTCGATGGGAATCAGCCACATAGGAAAGAATGGGACTTCTACCTGAGAAGGGTTCCCATGCAGTACAATTCAGGTGTTTTACCAACAAGTGTGAACAGACCCGAAAAGTCATTTGGCAAAAGACATAAGATACAACGGAAGCCACAAATCCTAGAACCAACTTGTGACAGGATAACTCATTGGGGCAAAGTGCCAACAGCCCCGAGGGAAGGACTCGTCTGTCAGTGAGCTTTCACAGGTCCATCCTTCACATGGAATTTACTTGGCACATATACCGGAACATTGCTTCCACTTCCGGCTCAGATAGTGCTGAGATCAGATCGGACGCGGTCTATGACCGGACCATAGTGGCTGATGTGACCGACTTCACCATGACAAGGGAATGGTCCAAAGAGGAACATGAATGGTGTAGTTGGGGGAAAGTGCTCAGTTACTAAAAACGGTCAATGCTCAACAAGATCTTTGATGTGCAAAAACAAAAGTAGTGAATGAGCATTGAGAAAAACGACCCGCTGATCACATGACTGGATCTAAAATAATGTATATCTTGAAAAAACAAAGGTTTTATTTAAAAATGGAAATAGCAAAAAGTTGCGCTGGGAAGGAAAACCGGGTGTCGATAATTACCAACTGCAGCAATGTGCAATCAAAACCTCAGTAAAATCTATAATATGCTGCGCTTGGTATGTGAAGTGAAGAAATAATTAGCTGCATAGCCTGTATGACAGCTGTGAACCATATATTAGTGACAATGATGTGAGAAACGAGGCCAATACTATCCTTTGTCTTTGACGCGTTTCGTCGTAATCGACTTTTTCAAAAGGCTTTTGAAAAAGTTTCTCACACATCATTGTGTCCATACGGCAGAGAGTTCTACCATTGAAAACGTTTTTACCCTTTGAATCTTGTAAGTGCGGTATTTACTTTGTTTATAATAAATGTTTTAATTGCTGCACTTAGTAGTTTTTCCCTTCCTTTCTTCGTTTAATAACTCTCCCCCGGTCATCTGGACAACCCCTGGTGGACGGATATCACATCTACCCGATACATGAGGGGTTAACCGGAGGTGAAGGAAGAATCACAGCTTCACCTGACCTTTCGGATCCAGAGTAAAGAAATGAACGAGAGAAAATAACCAGAAGGAATCGGAGAAGAACCCTTCCCAAAAGTCACTTCCTCAGTGGATCCCAGGATAAAATCAGGACAGATAAGTACTACTATCCCTCACAAACTATTGCTCGCTAGTCGGGGCGACATAGACGATTGGTCAATTGACTTTTTCCGACATTAAGACTGACCCACGTGAGGATTTCCTGATGGTCACAGGACACATTAAGGATTTGCTGTTGTTTTTCCCACTGATTGGAATTAAGCTGGGTGGTATAAGAGAAAAGCCCCCTCTCATTTGGTGTTGTCATACTTGATTGTTTTCCAATGTTTGTTTGTTTATGTGATCGTCTTATATTATTACAGTCTCAAGCTTATAAGCCATATAGAAGACAAGTTTATACTAGAATTGTCCCAAACTACCATTTTTTCACCTCCAGAAGATTAGGGGGAACAGCACTTAGTCACATTTGTTGCTATCAGTTATAATATTTTATCTATTTTTTATTTTAACCAGAGAAGATTTGCACAGTACGAGTACACACAGATTTTTCGGAATTTATAGAAGGATTTAATGTATTATTTATTAAGCTCACAATATAAGAGAACATATGTAAACAGCCCACGGTCACTTACTAATATATGGTTCACAGCTGTCATACAGGCTATGCAGCTAATTATTTCTTCACTTCACATACCAAGCGCAGCATATTATAGATTTTACTTTATTTAAAAATGATCTTAACATGTTGATGAGAGGGGGGGGAAGGAACCAATATAGGCAAAATGTAGGCACATAAACCCCTTAGTGACCATTGACCCCCACTGGCACCGGGCCCATTTAAACAGACTCCCGGCGGCTAAAGACGCCGGGACTCTGTGTTTACAATAAAAGGGATCAGGCGACATCCCCGCCGTGTTTTCCGGGCTCCGTTGCCCCTCCTACAGGCCTGGGACCGGCTTCTCTGGTGTCGGCGGGAAGCTGGGGAGATCATCAGCGAACCTCCGCTCGCGGATCCCCCCTCCCCGTACCATGGGACCGGGAGCGATGTAGATTACATCACTTCCGGTCCCTGAGCGGTCATTGCTGGGCTCCTGAAGCCTGCGATCTGCACTTCAATAGCTTATTTCAAGTGTAAAGGTGACACTAGGGGTCTTTTGGACCCCCAGTATCACCTTCAAGAGGACCTGTCACTGCCAATATGCGATCACATGGGGGGCTGCCAATTAAAGTTAAAAAAAGTTTTTAAAATTAATATTAAATTAAATAAATGTAAAAATAATGTAACATTTTTTTTTTAAAGTCCCCCCCGAGCACAGACGTCTTCACATAAACACGTGTCGGGTGCGCCTACGTATGAAAACAGCACGCGCACGCCGGAGTGAGAGAAATAATTCTAGGGCCAATATTTATGCGTATCTCTAAACTGATGACCTGTGGGGGGCTTTTAAAGCGTCATCTATGGACTTTTTGGGCTACTGAATTTTGTCACAGTTTCACAGACGCACACAATTTTTAACCTGGGCATGTTGGGTATCCGTTTTACTTGTTGTCACCTCATCTTTTATATTTTACAAAAAAATATAAAAGTATATTTTATTATTATTTTTGTTATTATGTTCTATTGACAAAACCTAATAAATTCATTGTTAAAAAAAAAAAAGTATATTTTATTGTGTTTTGGGGCATTTAAGGGCATTTTTCACTACATTGTGGGGTTTGATAATACATTGCATTAATATCGTGCAACATAAAACATTTAAACTGCCGCCATTTTATTCTACAGGGTCTTGGCTTTCAGAAAATATATAATCTTTGGGGGTTTTAAGTAATTTTCAGGCCTAAAATGTGGATTATATCATGGGTAGTACAAAAAACTAAAAAAAGGCCTCGGTCACTAATGGGTTAAACTCCAGCTTTAACGTTAGTGACAGGCTGCAGCATGTGTCAGTTTTGTTATTTGGGGGGGAGAATGATGGCAGTCATGTCAAGCGTGCTCAGGAGGTAAAGATCCTGCCATCAACACATTTCCTGTCCTGGGGTGACAACACTCACTCACTGTACTGTATCTATGGAGAAGCAGTGTTGTCACCCTAGGCTGCTCCTATTTGGGCTACAAACACCTCATCCTTTGTATTACATAGAAAGGGGGGGGGGGGGATGTGGAG